TAGAAACATTAAGAATTTGGTAGTAAATAGATTTCGTATTTAGTTAGCATTATATTTTATTGAAACGCTTCAAGTGCCTGTGGACTTGGTGTTAGCTACTACCTATCATATACTAACTACAGCCTCGACCTATAGGCTTTGCTATAGGAACTATTTGTGCTTGTGAAGCTAGCGACGGCTCTGTAGCATCTTTACGTCGGCGGTGGAAATGTTGGCGACACGTCATCGGTCGACAGTCTGTGAGCAGGTCTAGTCGATTTACAACGTTCATGAATATTTCATGTGTAGGTACATTTATATTGAAGTGCAGCAGCAGCAGCAGCAGCCTTAGGGTAGTAGATATGTTGATGAGATTGGCGTTCTGCATGTTATTATACGTATATATATTTGTATGAGGCGTGTGCAGGCGTTTTCTTACAAAAACTGATTATTATGTCATTGTCTGGTTCGTGCGCTGCATGTGCTAAATGATTATTGGGTGCACGCACATCATTCGTAATTTCGTACCATAGTTGCATTGGTTTCTTTTCTGATGTAGTCCTAGATCCAGACGTAAAATATTGGGGCGTTTAGTACGTGGTATTCCTAATTGTAATTTAGGGTGGTGTACAATAATTGTATAATTTTAAGTTAGATATCTTGATGGAAAAGTTCTACGAATGATGTAAAACTCTTGAGTGAGCTTTTAGTACTGAAGAGCTATGATGAACGTTGAATATTTTGCTATTTCAAAAGATGGCGAACAGAAGTTGCTGGCTAAGCTAAAAGCTTAGTGACATGTGACAAAAATGGGCGTGTGAAATATAGCAAATTTGTTGAAACAGACATTGAGACATTTGTAGAATAAAAAGTTACAGAACTTTGAAGAACTCATAATTAATGATTTACCGTTTAAAAAACACGACTCGCGCCAGTCGTAATGCTGTATAGAGCCTACATGTTGATTGTGCGAGCGCGTGGCTGCATGCTGCTGCTGCTGTCACTGCTATCCCCTGCCCCCCAACGTTCTGGAAACTTGCCCATGTCAAGCTGTTTAGTCCTTGGCAACAGGTTTGGCACGACGATTATTCATCTGTGGCGCGATCATGTAACGGCGAGGTCGCGAATGCGTGCGTGCGAGTCAGCCGCAACACACCCGCCAGCGGTCTGCCTGCCTTGCCTGCCTCTGCTGCCTGCCTGCCCGCCCGTCTGCCTGCCTGCCTGTCTGCCTGCCTGCCTGACTGCCTGCATTCCTGTCTGCATGCCTGCTTGCCTGCTTGCCTGCCTGTCTGTCTGCCTGCCTGCATGACTGCCTGCATTCCTGTCTGAATGCCTGCCTGCCTGCCTGCCTGCATTTCTGCCTGCCTGCCTGCATGCCTGCCTGCATGCCTACCTGCCTGCATGCCCGCATGCCTATCTGCCTGCCTGCCTGCCTGCCTGCCTGCCTGCCTACTTAGCTGATAGCCCATATACGTGTTCTGCCGCTCTTTCTCTCACTCACTCTCCCGCTGTCACAGTCTCTCTCTCGCGCTCTCTCTCTCTCTCTCTCTCTCTCTCTCTCTCTCTCTCTCTCTCTCTCTCTCTCTCTCTCTCT